TCTCACCTCCATACGCTACCGAACTTAGCGTGTGGAACTATACATCCACTGACCTATATACATGGATGGCTTCTTAATCTTAGTTATGCACGAGGGACGTCACTTTTCTATGGTAGGGTGCTCTATGGAGTGTACTTGTTTATATTATATGTATTTTATTGTGATTGTGTAGTGTAAGGACCACTGCCACCGGGTGCAAACCCAATTGCAGTAAATAAAATAATAATAAATAATAAAGCGGTGACACTCGATTCTTTGTTTCAGAATACTCGGCAACATCCCCAATACGTATGCCTACACAAAGGCCCTGTCTGAAGGTTTGGTAGCAGAACAGATGGACAAGTTGCCTACCATAATCCTCAGACCGTCCATTGGTGAGTAAACAAGGCACAAATAAAAAAGTGGCCTTCACAAGTAGCTACATGACACAACTTTAGCCATAATTCCTATAAATACTATTAGTCTTTCAGATAAATGTGTAAAACAAGGATATAGACACATTGGAAGTACTTCTTTACCATGGTTCAGATCATATAAATTGTAATAAACAATCAGTTCCTACTGCAATGAAAACGATACTTCTGCATTACGAAGATTAACTCAGTATGTTGTAAAGGTAACAATTGCTGTTTTCTCCAAAATTCATACAAAACCACACACACACACACACTGTGTGCAAATAATTTACAGCTTTACAGCATTAAACTGTTTACTGTTACTGATCAAACATTTTATTTTCGGGGAGAACTTGTATAGTTTCATTCCAGCATAGGAGATAGAGAATTTGAGGTTTTCATGGCAATGGGAGTATCGATGGTGGTGTCTGGGTTGTTTTACTATGTAGTGCCTTGGATGAACATGGTGCCTCAATCTTCAGCCCTATCTAGACCTAGTACAATATATGAAGCTTCTTAAACAATTTATTTTTTCATTCTCTTTTGTGAGTGTTTGCCATGATTCCAAAAACTTTCTTTTGTAGACTGCCAGACAAGACACCTAATCCATTATTTAAAAAATCACTGTTATTTATATCACACAACACAGTTTTAAAACAAGGAAAAACATAACTTATCCTCTTCATAAAAAGTGCTGTTATTTTGAAAAATAAAACATACTTAAAATATGGAAACATTAAAATACAGATGTATTGCTGTAAGGAAGTACATGCCCTTGTGTGCACATAAGTCAGGCCTCCACCTGCGTGCATGAAGCTGAAGACTATGTTTGAACTCATAGCAGTTTTTTCTCTCTCTCTCACACACACACACACAAAAACCACCCCCCACACACACATTTTGGTGTTATTCAGACATAAAATCGTTGCCAACAGGGTAGCACAACTATTTAGTCACGGTCTAAGTCATTTATTACTTTCAACACATTATTATTTTGGATGTTGTTTCAGTGATACCAGTATGGAATGAACCACTGCCAGGGTGGACTGATAATATCAATGGACCTACAGGAATTCTAATAGGAGCAGGCAAAGGAATCATCCGTACTATGTACCTCAACCAAGAGGGATATGCAGACTTCCTTCCTGTAGACACTGCAGTTAATGGTGTACTCATAGCTGCATGGAATTTCATCAGCAATAAGTGAGTCACCGTAGGTTAAGGCAGACAGTGAAACTGTGAGCGAGATTCAGAATGTGGTCTTTTGGTTTGTGACACTGTTTAGTCTTGTAAATGGTTACCAGCATTTTGAAGGAAAATATAGCCTTTAGAGTAAAATGTGGAGGAAGCTACATAAGATTTGAAATTTTCATAGTATATGAATGCTATAAAATTTTATTGGACGATCAGTCATGTCACTGCTGAGGCAAAAACCAACATTCTGTAACAAAGCTGGTCACCTGTGAGAATTTTATAACATGTAGAGGAAATGTCAGATTATTCCAGGTGAATACTGACTTGTTAAGAAAATGTAGTGAAAAAATTTGATGCTAATTTCGTTAAGTTTACGGCAGTTCCAGAACTGTAAGATACAAGATTCTAAATATATTTTCACTCAGTAGGTTTGCTCTTTGAAGTGTCCTGGTCAAAGATCAATTGGGGACCAGCAATTCTGACTGAAGTTTATTACAATCCTAATTCATCATTCACAATCACCCAACCATATATCACTGAATACAACATAACCTACGACCAAGCAGGTTAGTGTAGCAGCACTACTGCTGAATTTTATGCAGAAGGTACCCAGTCAGAATCTATGCTGGTTTAACACTGTTGAAACTGCAATGTTAGATAGCCTAAGACTTTGTTATAATCTCAGAAGTTGTTACAACACAGTAAAATAACCAAACAAATATAGACAAGATTGTTTCGGAGGCTGTGGCCTAAAATATTCTCATGGTTAACCTCTATCGGAATTCACGAGGAAATGACAATAACAAAATATGTGTCTGTGACAGGGATCGTGAAAGACGAGTATACCATCTCACAACTAGTTCAGAATTGAAAGTAACATGGGCAGAAATCATTGAACGGGGCCGTAAAGTAATCAAAGAGGAGGTGCCTTTCAATGGAGTGGTGTGGTATCCAGGGGGCAGCATGAAGAAGAGTAGACTTCTTCACAACATATGTATGATTCTGTTCCACTTGCTACCAGCCTGCCTGATAGATGCACTTATCTTCCTGTCAGGAAACAAACCAATGTAAGCACAAAAACAATGTGAATAATGTTTTGTACCAATGAACTGGGGAAGATGGCTTCTCCCTGAGTCAGGCGTGGAAGCCTCTCATTTGACCCGAAAGAACGGAGACAGTCTCTCACCAAGGAATTAACCCCTGTGGCCCTGAAGGGCTCACGCCTTCTCTCCTAATCTGTCCTATCCTATCCATCTTCCCCACTACTCTTATGCCTGCCTGCAGTCTCTCCACTGGCCCAGGTCAATGTCTAACTCAGTCTGTCCTAATTGGCCAGTTCCTGCAGACTTCCCTTCCTGCCACTCTCTATACTCCCCCTTATTTCCATATTCAGCCCTGAAGATGGAGACATTACATTTTTCTGAAACACTGGCATCTACTCACCAGTTCACCTAGTACTGTTGGATTAAATGTAGGTTACAACGGGCTTAACATGTGACTAGAATTAGAAGACAAATAATATACATCAAATTTTGTTAGGGAAATTTGTTGGAAAAGTCCATATTTAAGACCGAGGAGCAGATTGGAATATAACGTTATATGATCATAAGGAAGACAGCTTGCGAGGATTAGAAATGGATGCATCTGACGAGGATCAGTTCAGATTTTCTTCTGTACCATATGACTGTTTTAATTAGTATTTTCATTACAAATTTAATAATGTTCATTATAATAAATAAATGTACATCTATTATGAGTATATTTATTTAGATTATTTTTATTTTTGATACTATGAAATATTTGAAATAAAAACAAAAATAATTCCTGACACAGCAGTAAACTTTTTGAACAGATTTGAAAATTTTGGCAAGTGAAATACTTAAAATTCCAAAGTACACACTTAAAAAATATTACATAAACCTTTTAACTCAAACATTAATTCTGAAACAGGGAGTATTTTTAATTTTGTCAGGGAATCTGGAAAAAAATCCTGCCACCTCTAGCACAAGATATCTGCAAAAATAATGTGTATACATATGCAGAGCGTCCCAAAAAGATGTATACACACATTCAATGACTGAAATAAATACATTTTAAAAGACTAAACCATTACATATGACAGCAATGGCACTTTGTGAATTAGTATATCTAGTATAGGTGTTCATATATCCTAATCTCCATACAACTGATGAATGGTTGGAACAATTCCATATTATAATATATAAACATACTTTTGGGATACTCTGTATAAAAATGTCTTCATTTCAGTTTGCTACGAGTTCACCGCAGAATCAACAAAGGCTTTGAAGTGTTTGAGTACTATGCAAACAAACAATGGGACTTCAAAAATGAAAATGTTATAGAACTACGGAAAAGACTAAATGAAAAAGAGAAAACAATATTCAAAATTGATTGTATAGGTGTGGATATCAATGCATACATTGTACACTGTATACATGCAGCTCGCTTGTACATTCTCAATGAACCACCAGAGACACTTCCAGCAGCCAGGAGGCACATGAAAGTGTAAGTAAGCTGACATATTTGTATATAATTCATCTCTATATATTGTATTATTTGTACTCTTAATTTTCATCAAGAACAGTCTCAGACTATGCAGTGTGGTAGCTGTATTCCTTTATTAGGTTTATGACATTACATTTCTGTACACTTACAGGCTGCCTTTATCATCAAGCAAGTTTGTGCAGAGTTGATATATCACTGTTAAAGAACCTATGAACCAGTCACATATATTTCATCTGGACTATTTGTTAAGAGAAGTTGATTCTGTTTCAGAATGTATTGGGTGGACATATTTACTAAACTGATCTTGTGTGGTTTCCTGCTCTGGGCACTTGCATCATGGTCAGAAAGTATCCTGGATGGTATACATGGCATGTTCAATTTGGTCAGCTACATTGTATCATCTGGTGGCTCACACAAGACTCAACACCACATCACTTAAGAGCTTCTACAAAAAAGATGGACTGTAGACCAATATCAAACACTTAGTATGGTTTTTAAATGCTATTCGGTGTACTAATTTTACCTCATTCCTATGTGTATGTAAATACTATATACAACATATTAGTGATCTAGTACACATGTAACTTACGAAACACTGACATAGAGCATTACTTTCCAACAGAACTAAATTTAAAGCTCTATAAATTGTGCCTCCCAAATTATTTGTATTTTTCTCATGTCAGACCAATATTCTACCAAAAATAGTACCACATATTCACACACCATTTTCTGAACAAGCATGACTAAACCAGGCCTTAATTTATTAGTCAATGAAAAGTATTAATATGAAGCTAATCTGGACATAGGTTTTAAAGAATCCTTCTTCTATTAGTATATTACATATAATTTTTCTACTAATGAAAATCCAAATAGCTTTAACTATTAATAATGGAAATATTTATTTTCACTGATCATCTCCAATACAAAATAGTCAGTATGGGCCAGTGAAATATCCAATGAAAAATATCACTTAGAAGAATTAGGCATATGTGGGAGGATATTAAAATGAATCTTAGGGAAATATGGTGGAAGGGTTTATATTGGATTCATCTAGGTTGGGATGGGACCATAAGGCAGACTCTTGTAAACATGGTAATGAACCAAATCAGTTTAGAAGCAAACTGAGAACGAATTTTTTAAATAAAATTATAAATAGTGGATATGTATTTAACAAAGAAAGAAAGTAATGCAAATATAATCCAACAGAACCAAGAAACCAAGTTATACAAACTTTTGAATCTGTTATCTACCACATAATCTAAGATAAACAAATCAGTAGTTTTAACCCTACTGGTTCTAATTGCAACAAAGATTCTGCTCAAACACACAAAAGATGTTATTACTTTAGCAGTCATGCAGTGTGTTAATGTAGTCAATGGATACACCACCCTTTCAGTTAAATAAATTTCACTGCTCAAAACTTTGGTTTTGTTTGGTGTATTTGAAGAGTTTTAGAAACATGTCTTCCAGTATTGTAAAGTAAAGTAAAGAATGTGGGTGATGCAGGTCCATGTCAGCGTCATCCCCTGACAACACTTTACCCCTGGAAAGGACTCTGGTACCCACTGGACAGGAGGGTGGGTAGGCCAGAGCCTGTCTGGATGCAGAGGCTACAGAAAAAATCTCTGCCCATTTGCTGAACCCGTCAACCAGTCCCTAGTCAGTCACTATACTGACTGAGCTACCCAGCTAATTCCAGTATCATGGAGTCCATTTATAAATTAATGTTCTAAAGACTTTCAAAATAGTTACCAGCATAATATATTATGATGCATAGTCCAGAGAAAGTGTACTGAGTTTGTCAAATGAAAGAAAATTGCTTGTACATGAAGAATGAAAAATTAAAACTTTTTTGTCTTCAACATTAGTAAATACAATAGGAAAAATCCAAATGGGCATTTGCAATGGCTAGAATTTGCTACCTACATTTGAAATTAAACAAAATCAGAAAAGTTTTACTACAGTCAGGGCTCAACTGTTTCATTTCTGAGACAGAAGTTACTGAACTTATTTACAGTTATGTTTGTATAACATCTGGAATAACAGTGCAGACACACCAGAGATTGAACTGACAAAAGAGGTGGAAATTCCTTTTATGTCCACTAACAAATAACAATCAACAAATGACTCAATATAATGTATACATGTCATTGAAAATCATAAAAATGAAAGCTTTAAATAACACATATGAATGATTTTAAAAATCAGACTTAAATTTTATCTTCTATTCCTAAGTTTAAATATTTTGTCCTTTCCACAAACTTTCTGCACCCACACAATTATTTGAGTTAGACTACCTATATAGCACAGCCCAACTGTTGACAGTCAGTCTTTTACAGCATAAGGAAGGTTCATCACAAACCTTCCCTACAGTGATTACCAGATGGCTATTAGGCACAACCACATAAGTCACCACAAGTACATCTTACTGTACATGTTGGTCTTCAAGACTGTAACACCATATGGACTACTGATACCAACATCAACATCTTCACCACTAAGAACACAAAAATCTCGCATGCATCTTAATGATCCAGACTGCATAGCAAATTCTCCAATTCCAAACGCATCTACTGTCATGTAACCTTAACAGTGCTAACACATCATACAAATACTCTCCATAAATGTATCACATAGTATTAAATTTTTTTGTTGCTATCAATTGCCAACTTCAGGATATTCCAGCAATCATCTAATGAGATCGCAGAAAATCTCATAAAATAACATCATAAATGTGAGCCACATGCATTACCAGCATAATAATGTTTTTGGTGATAAACTGACAAGCAACTACGATATTACATCTTCACACAAATACCACAGCCATAATACAATAATAACACATTCTAAGAGGGTAAACAGTGAGAAAGTGATAAAGCATAAAGAACAATAAATATTTTTATTTCCTTCCTAATCAGAATACAAATATATACTGTCTCACCCTAAACGTACATAAATATAAAGATTTGCAAGCACACCACACCTTGGTGCAAAAGCACCATACCTTTACCTCAGAACCAAATGTAGGTGTGTCCAGTACGTATACACTGTCACTACCTTCATATGTAAGAAGAGTTCCTTATTCCCACTGGCCTGGTATTTGAATAGGTCTCAGAACTGTTGTGTATGTTCTGTACAGAAATCCATCATCCTCGACAGACAAGAATAAAGTTGTACCAATAAGACGCTATACAATAAAACAGAAAGACAATTTTCAAGTGTATTTAGACGTACCAAAATGTAATGATGTGTAATACACCAACACCATATAAAATGTTTCATTTTTATCTTTCTGAACATGTTGCCATCTTATATCCTAATAAATAGTAAAACCTTGCGAATATAGTCTTAGGCCAGCAACAATAGCACAACTGAAAACATGAACTGGAAATTGAACAATATAATACCTTTATTAAGTTTAAGGTTTTCATGCGTCATGTTTGTGTTTTGGATTAAAATATATAATAAAATACAGGTCAATACACAAAACTATATTTGGGTGTTAAAATTTAAAATTTAAATGTTAAAATTTTAAATTAGCGCTATTCATCACTATAAGGATGTTACATTTGAGCGCTTTCATTCATTTCACAACATGTTTCGATGTAATACATCATCTTCAGGTGTTGTTTTTTATTTAAAACTATTCCATATTATAATGCATGCCTTTCAATAATTTATTATTGTAATATGTGTTTCGCTGGTCTTCTCGTTTTTCCCATCTTATGTTTGTTTTGAATTATGCTGTAAACAAATGTGATGTGCACAAAGAACATATAACAGCTATCAAACAGAATAAGGATCACTCCGCCTACGCAAAACACATATTAAACACAGGACACACATATGGGGCAATAGAACAAACTTTATATATTATAAAAATAGTACAAAATAAACGCCATAGGGAAACCATTGAAAAATACCATATACAACGGACACATAAACAAAATATTGCTTTAAACGACACTAACCTATATTTGAACAACCCGATTTTTAACACAGTACAAGTCATTGACTCAAGCACATGACCCCATCTACCTATATATACCACCCGCTCCTATACACGAAACCAGTACTTGAACAGACAGTCAACCCTGCAGACGTGATAAACCACACAACACGACTTATGGTATGTTATTGAGTTCTTACTATTACAATATAATTCTTACTCCAAACTTATTTGCATATAAAAATAAAAATGAATAACTACCAAATTTTATCACATTTGTTTACAGCATAATTCAAAACAAACATAAGATGGGAAAAACGAGAAGACCAGCGAAACACATATTACAATAATAAATTATTGAAAGGCATGCATTATAATATGGAATAGTTTTAAATAAAAAACAACACCTGAAGATGATGTATTACATCGAAACATGTTGTGAAATGAATGAAAGCGCTCAAATGTAACATCCTTATAGTGATGAATAGCGCTAATTTAAAATTTAAAATTTTAACATTTAAATTTTAACACCCAAATATAGTTTTGTGTATTGACCTGTATTTTATTATATATTTTAATATAATACCTCTCCCTGCCAAGCTTCATTATCATCACCTAAAGTGAGAAAAGGGACTTCAACTTCAAATGAGCCGTAACACAATGATATAAGTACACAAACACACTTTATTTATTTATAAACATACAAAATATACACTCAATGTATCATCTTCCTTCAATTTCAGTATACTGGTGTTGGTTTCTGAGTAGGAAGAAGGTTGAATCTCTTTTTTATGGTTATTCTCTGCCTAGAATACTTATCCTCAGGAGAGAAGCGAGCTGAAAAGAAGACATGAATCAGCCCAAAGTACAACTTCTGCAATTACAGGAAAACCTCAATCTGACAGTCAATAATTCAAAATACTGTATAATGAACAAACTGACTAGAAGGAAATGACTAAAACAGACATTATAACAGGGTGCAGAATTTCTGCCAATAATGTCAACACATTTAAACAAATTATGGGTACAGTTGTCTTTAGTTCCATTTAATGACAGCAGAAAAGGGAAGTGCATTGACTGCCTACCCACCTAATGCAGAAGTGAACACAAGAAATTCATGCTACTGTGGAAGAACAGGCATAGAATATGTCTACCACTTCCATTATTAAGCCTCTTCATTAACAGAAACTGATAGCAATGGAAAACATACGAGTTTACTAAATATGGAACGCTTAATAAAATCTTCTTGGAAATCAGCCACGTCAATTGGTTACATGAAGAGATTAACATTTCAGGATGTCTGATGTCGTCAGAACCCTGATGATGGGGAGAAAGATGGTTCCTGAAACAACGGTTTACGCGTGTAACCAACTGATGTGGCTGATGGCCCAACAAGATTTTATTGAGTTTAGTTGCCATGAAAGCTTAAAATCATATATGGAATACCGCATAAATAGATCTCAATTAAAATAACTATTGAGTGTACATGAAAAATCTTCATCTTAAACTCAGGGAAGGCCTACACAATCCCGTCGTGGTGCTCTTGACCGAGTGTCTTGATGGGCCGGCACGTTTACTTTGAACAAATTAGAGTGCTTAAAGCAGGCAGCAGCCACCTGAATACCGAGTGCATGGAATAATGGAATAGGACCTCGGTTCTATTTTGTTGGTTTTCGGATGCCCCGAGGTAATGATCAAAAGAGATAGACGGGGGCATTCGTATTGCGACATTAGAGGTCAAATTCCTGGATCATCGCAAGATGGGCAGAATCGAAAGCATTTGCCAAGAATGTTGTCTTTGATCAAGAACGAAACTTAGAGGTTCGAAGGCGATCAGATACCGCCCTAGTTCTAATCATAGGGGTGCAAAGTAGACCTACCTCATTGTGGTGCACCCTGGGCAACATCTCTGATGGCAAAGTGGTCTACAAACCTGGCAAATGAATCTTGCATCTTTGCACTTTATGATTGCTACTGGGAAGCAGGATGTGTTATGGGTCAAAGGTGAAATTCTATGTACCTGCCATTTGACATAAATAATTAAACAAATAAACTTTACCTGGATGGGCAGACACTGTTGGTATACCATCTGGTGCTGTCTTCTACAACATAGAAAAAATCAGGTATGAATAATAATATACACATATGAAATGTTTTAAAAGTATTATTTATCAAAGTATGAGTTACCTCTGCATTTAAAAACAATGCTGCATGAATTCTAGATCTAAGCACTCGACAGGAGGTTGGGTGAGTTCCTAAGCTTGTTTGGGTATGTTAATGATTAGATATGTCCCAGCACCTTGTCAAGATCAAACTTTAGTGCAACTGACAGTCAATTGCTTTTCTGAACACAGTGAGCATATCCCACTGTTAATGATAAATTTAATGGAACCTACTATTTTGCCCTTAATATAATCACATAATAACATATTAAACTTATTTAGGTCTATGCATAGTATTACGTGGAACCAATGTTACAATTAATAGGGTAGGTTAAGATAGAACACTTTTCTAATAAGTACCTAATAAATTCTGAGTTAAAAATAAAACATAGTGCAGTCAGCAACTAACCGTTGAAACAAACATATGTAAGTGTAAGTTGGAATTTAAATTACCTGTATTAGAACTGTCTGTTAATTTAGCAGAATATTACAAGATCCAAGGAAGAAAGTAGAATTTTTAATGCCTACGGAGACAGACCCCCCCCCCCCCCCAAAGAAAATTCAGGTTATCTGCATCATTTAATGGGATCGGAGGCAACAAGGTTAAACATACCACAGACTGGAAATACAGAAACCGCTTAATGCATTCAAGAAGTCTGGGACCAGTGCTATAGAGTACTGGGTATAATGAATTCTTCTCGGGCTACCAGCCTTGTTTCGGGAACCACTTTCGTCCTCGCCCTTAGGCTCAGGACGAAGATGGTTCTCGAAACGGTGTTTTCTCCAATAAACCACCTGACACGGCTGGTAGCCCAAGAATAATTCGTTAAACTTAGTCAACATGAAAGATTCAGATCATACAAGATTAATGAGTGTGATTCTGGACATCAAGAAAATCTCCTATACTGGAAAAGATGAACGCCATTTCGTTCATATACATAACAGAGGATTACAAAGAATAGAGGGAGAAACTATCAAGACATTCACTTACCTTAAATGTATACACTCTTTTCCCATCTTCACCCAGATAGTACATTAAGTACATCTTTAGCCACTAATGTACTTCAAAGCGGGCTAAATTTTGGAGACAAAA